AGAAAGGAACAAGTGGGGATACGAAGCCATCTTGCAGCCAATGTCCTGGCCTGGAGCCCTGCTTATGGCCCTGAGCCCTGTATAAGAAGACCAGCCCCGACCTAATTCCTGGCCTGGAAGGGCTTCTGTCTGTGCTTCTTGCAGGGCAAAGGCAGACTTGGGGAAAGCAGGAGTTCCTGCCCCCTCTGCTGTGTGTGGTCTTGACCTCAGTCACGTCATCGCTAAGTCATCTCTTTGGCCCTTCCTGGTCCTGACATTCTTCCTCTGGGACTTTCCACGAGGCAGCAGAGAGGGGCAGGAACTGGAGTCCAGGCTGGACCTCAAGCCCAGGGAGATGCTTGTTGAACTTGCTGATCATGCAGGGCTGCGGGTCGCCTTGAGGGAGTGACCCCCAGTGAAGACTCTGGGCTGGCACCCGATGGGTGCGGGGGCAGCAGCCAGAGCACCCCAGACCAGATCCACTGCTGTGTGCACTTTTACAGACACCTGTAAAGCAGTGTCTACTCCTGGAACTGCTTCCTAAAACAGACCTTATAACCTTGGGGTTGTGAATTTGAATTTCATAGAAAAAACTTTGAGCAACAGTGTGGCGAAGAAGTAAGGGTGTGAGAAACAGACGCCTCCATCCCAGCTGCTCTGTCCGTGGCTGTCTGTGATCTTGGGACAGTTGTTCAAACCTGTGGGGCGTCAGCCTCCTCTGCTATAAGCTGGTGGTGATGGTCCCTTGTGAACCTGCAGGCTGCCCCCAGGCTGCACTGCCTGCCCCCCACCAGGGCTAACAAGCACTGAGGCTTCCTCGGCCCTCTGCCTGTCCTAGTCTCCCACAGACTTCAGAGGCCCAGGACACTTTGTGGACGCTTCTTGGTTTAGAGTGTGTTTCCCAGGCTTGGCACTATAGACATTTTGTCTGGATGATCTTTGTTGTGGGGGCTGTCCTGTGCATTGTAGGATGTTTAGCAACATCCCTGCCCTCTGCCCAGTGGATGCCACATCACCTCCCCCAAGTCATGACAATCAAAAATGCCTTCAGACATGGCGAACTGTCCTTTGGGGGCACAAAAAAAAAAAAAGAAAAGAAAAGAAAAAAAATAAACCCAGTGCCTTCGAGTTGATTCTGACTCCTAGCGACCCTGTAGGACAGAGTAGAACTGCCCCA